TCTAGGAACTTGATGGGTAGACGCCGAACTTATTGGACCTTTCCTTATCTGTCTATTTTAATTTCCTCGTCTTGTGCTCATATACTGGGTTGATACTAGCGTTTTCTAGAATATAATTAAGTATTACCTCCGTCCCAAATATAACAAGTTTTAACTATGTCTGGATACACAGTTGTCCATATTTATAACTAAAAATGTTTATATTTTGAGACAGAGAAAGTAACTTCTACTGGTCTCAACCGATCAAATAATATATTATTTAGTTTCTCCACCTACTTTCTCATCTCAATAAACTATCATTTAATTTTATCTTTCTTCTTAATCCATGTGAAAAACTTTAGAAATGTTTTTCGGATTACTAAATAGTGCGATTTTCAGTAACAAAAAACTTATATATAAATTTCTTAATAACTCTATTTTTCAACTTTATAATAGTTAATTCATTTGTTTGTAGCTTCGAATAGTTTATCACAGCATCATTCAACTATTTCGTCATTTGGCAATTCAAGAAAGAGAAGGCCAGCGTTTAGCGTTTCCAATATATACCTTTTGTGAATCCTATCTTTTCTATATAGTTGGTACTCACTAAAAATCATTTATACTCCTATAAAGTAAGTCATGTGTAACGCCCCGCCTCTCCCAGACCGGGCCCGCGGTCACCCATCTCACATCCTCACCCCCTTAAGAGAGATCAACGTCCCCGTCGATCAACCCTAGGCCAGGAATGTCCCCTCTTGGCCACGTCCGTGTGTCCAGTGCCAGCGCATGTGCCATGCTATGTGACCACTCCGGGTCCACACCAGCCATGCGCACCATGCCTACGCAATTGCGACACACGCGCCCGTTATTGGTGGAGAAACCATCTATACTCCCGGTTGGTAACCCTTCTTTAGTCCCGGTTTTCCAACCGGGACTAGCAATCCGAGACGGTTGAAATAACCGAAACTAAAGAGATGGTAGTGGCAGTCCCATTAGGTCTCCTTTCCTCTTTTTTTTTCATTGTTTTTTAGCCAGAGTTTAATCCCTGTATTTTCTCCCAAATCGAGTTGGATGCATATTTCCAAATCAAACCCCAAATCAAAGTAACATCCCAAAATATTCACATCACAAATCTTAAGTTACTTGTACACACAAATCAAATACATCATAAATCTTAAAAAAATTACACACAAACCAAATACATCACATATTATACATCTCAGATCCATGAAACAAATCACAAAATTATACATCTCAGTGAATCACAAATTGTAAAAAAAAAAAAAAGAATGGATGTCGGAGCGCCGCCTGCCGCCGCTCGCTACTTGGCATGTGCACGGCCCCGCCGACTGCCTGACGCGTGCGACCCCCACTGGGCGCCGGATGGGAAGGGAGGACGGGGAGGAGGCGGGATGGGAGGAGAAAGGGGAGGAGGGGGGAGGAGGAGAGGGAGATTAAACCGGGACTAAATATCATCTTTAGTCCCCGGTTCTTTTTGGAACTGGGACTATTGTGGTTTTAGGGCGACCCAGCAAAGATCAGCTTTCTAGTAGTGCGTGAAACCGTGAGGGATGGGAGGAGGAAGGGGAGGAGGGGGGAGGAGGAGAGGGAGATTAAACCGGGACTAAAAAGATGTCATCTTTAGTTCCGGTTCTTTTTGGAACTGGGACTATTGTGGTTTTAGGGCGACCCAGCAAAGATCAGCTTTCTAGTAGTGCGTGAAACCGTGAGGGATGGGAGGAGGAAGGGGAGGAGGGGGGAGGAGGAGAGGGAGATTAAACCGGGACTAAAAAGATGTCATCTTTAGTTCCGGTTCTTTTTGGAACTGGGACTATTGTGGTTTTAGGGCGACCCAGCAAAGATCAGCTTTCCAGTAGTGCGTGAAACCGTGAGAATTGGCTAATCGGCTCTGCACAATTTGTCCTCACTCATGTGCACCCGGGAAGAATTTCCCGGTCGGTCACCTATCCTAAATTGCTCTAGGCTAAGCACGCTTAACCTCAGAGTTATTTGGAGATTGGCTTCCGGAAAAGAAGTTGCAACTTGTTGATATGAGTATTCTATTAATCCCATTAAAGCCCTAGGCCGGGATGTCACAGCATGCAAGAAAAGTCACATCATCAATAATTCTGAGCAATCAGATCGCATTAGTACATAGTTATTAGTTGTTGGATCAAGAAGCTACTCATCCATCTAAGGTCATGTTTGTTTCAGCTTAAGATTACTATAATCTAGATTATTGAACTAGATTACTATAATCTGGATTATAATAAGCCGATATAGAATAAGCGGTTAGCTGCTTGATTCTCTGGATTATTAGCTGTTAGTCACCCAATAATCTAGAAAAAGCACCTTTAGAGTGGATTACCATATTATAGTAATCTGGCTTATAGATTATAATAATATATCATAATAAGCTATCTGTTTGTTTTAACTTACTCCTAATAATCCAGATTATCATAATCCTAAGGTGAATCAAACAGGGCCTAATTTAATCATTGATTACTTATCCAGTCACCTCCCTTTAGATTATAATCACGCGTGACATTGTTATCTATTTTTCACATAATACTATGTTTTCTCCACCCAAGTCCTCCAAGATAATACAAACTTATCATATTTATTTTATACAACTCAAATTATTTTATAACATGTGAGTTTTGTTTTGTTATAAACAATTGGATAACACATAGTAATTAAGCATCATTAACCTAAACCTATTTTTAAACAAGCTTGAATAAAAGCAAAGAGGTACAAACTACCCTAATTATGACGAAATCCAGATTGTGCATAAAAATAACTTTCGTATACCATAAAAATACACAATGACTTTTTTGAAAAAATAAAACATGAATTGTATTGTAATAGCAGAGGCTATTTATGAAGCCGCATTATCATTTTGTATATATACAGAGTTATATCTAATTGTTTAAAATATTAATTTTATTTGACGATAAAACTAGCAAATTCCACGGCAAAGCGTGGGGTATCAACTAGTATAATAAAAATTACTAACCAGAGAGACTATACAACTCGACATTTTAGAAAGATTAAAGGGGTATAATTAACACACAAGAAACCAAAGGATTATTATGCCTAGATAGTGCTTATATGTATGTACGTAGTGCTTGGATTGCCACATAGGCACGGAGATGGATGGTGCATTATTAATCGAAGCGCACGCGTCCCCCCATTAATCCATTATTGCTCTAGAGTACAATATAAGCTGGTGAGTGGTGACAAGCTGAAGTATATCGGCTTGCCTCAATGTGGGAATTGGAACGATTCCTAACCTGGATTAGTTTACCACTAATGTCCAATTATCGCAAACCGCATATAGTAATTAATAGCTAGTGCTGTACTACTCGTACAAGTTAATGACTCGTTTTATTGGTCAATTCTCAAATCTAATACTCCAACTATTGTTAGTAATAAGCTTACAACTATTGTTAGAGCTAATCAGGCTCCAACTATTGTTTAATTAAGACCTATCAGGCCTGTCATTAATTAAGATATACTATTTCTCTACTATTTGATCTGTAGCTAGCGGTACAATTTCAACGAGGAACAGGGGAAAAACAGGCCAAAACCAAGTCTTTTTCTTTTTCAGTTTTGAAACAAAAAAAAAACCCAAGTCCTTTTCAGTTTGTGTGTATATATATCTTACATATTGATCATGTGAAGCGCCAATATATATAGTCAAATCTCGCATGGTTTTATTCTGTAGAAGAGCATTATTTCCTCGCCTTTTATAGTGAGATTTTATTCCTGATCTCCCATTGAAAGAACTTTAATTAACATAAACTGTAAATCAAAGGTGGACTGATACTGAGCCATTGCTTTTGGGCATTTTTTTAATCATGAAGTGCCAGAAATGTATGATCCTATCACGCAAGTTATACTGCAATATGGGTTTTGGAATCACAGTCAAACCCCACTATTGTCATGAATTTCCACTTCAATTTTAATTCCACGAAGTATCCTCCTCCCATGAAAAAAAAAACAGTCTGCTCCCAAACATAAATACAAATAAATTAAATGATACAGTATATCACTATAAAAATTAAGAAAATGATATTTCAATTAAACTTGCATTATAAAAGATAATCAAATAAAAGTTGTAAGTAGTGGTAGCTATTTTTTTAAAATAATGGATTCTTAAAACAGAGCCTATACGTTCAACTGGACATACACGGTTAAAATCATGGAACTATATCTCTTATGTCATTTGATATTTAGCGGCGTGAAAGATAGTCAACAATTATTGAATACTCCCATAGCGTACTAGTAGCCACTAATGTTTTGCAAGCAACTACTCCCTCTATTCATTTGATCACCACCTAAAATTATTGAGATTTTCTCAAAATGATTATCATCTAGTAAAATATCTCTTTGTTTATTTCTATAAGGAGTAAATGTGTATCGTGGAATGTCCCGTATGCATGCAACTAGACAACCAAGATAGTCATCATCTTTTTACTTATGCTTATACTTATCAGCTAAAATTTGAATTTTCAATGTTAAATTTGGAGCTGATTTTGAGGTATTTTCATCGAAGTTTATTTTTCAGCCTTTGTTTTTACATCGCTAAGAACACGTATATAAAACTTTTATTCATAAATTACTTTTCATTTACAAATATGCCGTTTCGCTTATTCTGCTGGCTCCTTTAAATTCTATCATTTCAAACTATGCAACATTTAAACTGTGAATTAATTTTTATTAGACACGAAATGACAAAGCACCTCAATCGATGACGACTAATTTCAGTATGATGTATATTCTGGTGTCCTTGGTTTAAGGTGTTCTTATATTGGGATGGATAGAGTACAAAATTCACTAAAATTAACCTTCGCAGCATACTAATTTTTTGAAGTGAAATTAAGAGGAAACTAGGCGTGCATCCCTGCGCTTAACGGCGTGACCACCTGGCGTTGCAGGAGCCGTTTCACAAACAGAGCCTAAGGTTAGGGTTTTTGGGACAGCTTAGCCGGCTCGACTATAAATAGCGGCGGTGGCGAGCCCCATCTTCCCCCACGCCTCGGCAATCCAAAGCCCTCCTCGTCCTCGCAGAGCATCCATTGCCTCGATTTTCTATTCCAAATTCCCCCACGCGAAGAACAGCCAGCGCCCTCCTCCTCCTCCTCCTTCGCCTTCCTCCTGGTTTCTTGCCATCTTTCCAGGGAAGGAGGAACCGCGGCCCGGCCGCATTCTTGGACAAGAATTGTTGGGTGAGTCTCGAGTCCCCCCCCCTCCTTACTTGTGGTTATGCTCATGTTGCTGTGCTATTCTGTAGAAGAAGATTGCATATTTGCATGTACTATGCGCTTGGATTGTTTAGCGAGTCGCGGAGATGTTTCGTTTCGTAACGCGTTGGGGGTCTGGATCCCGATTTAGCTTCTTGGGGATCGATTTGGGAGGGGATTTAGGACCTGTCTTCCCCTGTTCCTTTCTTGCATGCGTTGGGAATTTTGTTTGTTCTTTGTGGCGACCGGGCTGTTAGTTATTAGAGAACGTATTGCGAGCTGTTCGGGTGCCTGGGCGATTCTAGAAAGATGTCTCTTTTGCTAATGGTTATTATTAGCTGAATCGCTGATATGGTGAATCCAGGAAAGTTTCATGCTTTTTGTCCTATGTCCTGTCTTTCTTTGTCATATTCGTACCTTTCCCAGTTTGCGATGCCCAAGAAGCAACCTTTCTGTTGGAAACATCTAGTGCTCAATTCTTTATTTCAAATTGTTGAAATCTTCAAGGAGCAGTTTATTGTGCGCCCTTGTTGATTGCTCTTGTTTCTGCCAGGTTTCCTTGTTAGGCTCTAGTTTTGCTCGTTGTTTACTGTAAATTCCCATGTATATTAAGTTTGTGCAGTGCGCTGTCAGCTTGGCAAATGGGCTTTTCATTTCCTGATCGAAAAAAAAAACAAACCTGTGATTAACAAGGGGAAATTACCTTCACTGTGCCTATTGGCATCATTCCAAGTTATTCATGCTTTAGTTCCTAGCCATTAACTTAAGATAGAAATAAGATCCTGCCAGTTCACTAGTTTTCTTGTCAGTTTGATATATACTTTGATCTTGTCTTTTCTGGTTGTTTTCCTTAATTTTGTCTGTGTTGTTCTAGTGCTTAATTAGTTGCCTCTCAGTTCTTCACATTCTATGTTTTTGAGTAAAACTCTGTCCATATGGCCGTTCTGTTATGTATCTCAGCAATCTGCTTATATTTTTTTTTTTGCATCCCCACACAATTCTATTTGACGTTGTAAAAAAGAAGAGAGATAACTAGATAAGCGCAACTGATGCTCTATACTTAGTTTCACGGTTCTTGGTTTAATGCCTAAAAATTGTGCACTATCAGTACTTCAATTATGTTATCTAGTAGTGTTTTGTCTCCTCTGAATAATGCCTGCCATTCTTATGCTGCTCTACTGCTGAGAAAACTACACTATTTGAATTACTGATTGCTAATTATGTTTCGATTAACAGCATAAAGGAACATTTTGTTGATGTTCTAATGGAGTCAAAAGGTGGCAAAAAGAAGTCTAGCAGTAGTAGTTCCATGTACGAAGCTCCCCTAGGCTACAAGATTGAGGACGTTCGCCCAGCCGGAGGAATCAAGAAGTTCCAGTCTGCTGCTTACTCCAACGTAAGCACCAAAAGATTTAAGCAGCATACTTTAAATAACAAAAATATTTACATTTATGAACTCTGGTTTCTAATGCTTATTTGGTTTATCTTTTCCTTTGCAGTGCGCTCGCAAGCCATCCTGATATTCCTTCACATGCCTTTCCCCGTAGAGTAGGAATTTCCTGCAATTTTTCCTTTGTTTTGTTGCAATAAATCTCCCTTGGCTGGCTGCTTTCTCAATCTCTTCCCTTGTCTTCTCCGATCTCTTCTTTCCTGTCTTGTCCACTGCTCCTTGCAACACTTGATCAAATGTCGATGTCCTTGGCTGATTCTTGGGGCTCTGCCCCTGCCTCGCCCATTGGGTTTGAAGGCTATGAGAAGCGCCTTGAGATAACATTGTCTGATGCGCCCGTCTTTGTGGACCCCTGTGGTCGCGGCCTTCGTGCCCTCTCACGTGAGCAGATCGACTCGTTCTTGGATCTTGCAAAGTGTACCATTGTATCCCATCTTTCGAACAAGCACTTCGACTCATATGTGCTTTCAGAGTCGAGCCTTTTTGTTTATCCCCACAAGGTTGTTCTGAAGACCTGTGGTACAACAAAGCTTCTGCTCTCCATTCCTCGCATCCTTGAGCTTGCTGCAGAGTTGTCACTGCCTGTTCTATCAGTGAAGTACTCTCGTGGGATGTTCATCTTCCCTGGAGCGCAGCCATCACCGCATCGCAGCTTCTTGGAGGAGGTTTCTGTGCTCAACAGCTTCTTTGGTGGCCTCAAGTCAGGTGGCAATGCTTATGTCATTGGTGATGCATTCAAGCCCAAGAAGAAGTGGCATGTCTACTATGCCACAGAAGAGCCTGAGCAGCCCATGGTTACACTCGAGATGTGCATGACTGGGCTGGATGCTAAGAAAGCTGAGGTGTTCTTCAAGGATTCCACTGATGGCTCCTGCTCATCAGCTAAGGAGATGACTATGTTCTCTGGGATTTCTGAAATCATCCCTGAGATGGAGATTTGTGACTTTGAGTTTGACCCGTGTGGGTACTCAATGAATGGCATTTATGGTCCCGCCGTCTCCACGATCCATGTCACTCCTGAGGAAGGTTTCAGCTATGCAAGCTATGAAGCAATGAACTTCAATCCTAGCTCCTTGGTCTACGATGATTTGATCAAGAAGGTCCTGGCTTGTTTCTGCCCTTCAGACTTTTCGGTCGCTGTTACCATCTTCGGTGGGCATGGTTTTGCCAAATCATGGGCAAAAGGTGCAGAGGTTGATTCCTACATGTGCGATGATCTTGTTGAGCAAGAGCTTCCTGGTGGCGGTGTGCTGATGTATCAGAGTTTTACTGCTGTTACTCCTGGTGCTGTGTCACCGAGGTCGACCTTGGATGGCTGGAACAGCGATGGAGCAGAGATGGTTGCGAAGAGCAAAGAGATGAGTGTCTGCTGGGAAGGAGAGAAGGCGGCGAAGAAGAAAGATGCAGATGCCTGAGAAATCGGCAGTTCTTCAACCTCAAGTTGCAAGTTTGATTCATCTGAAGTTTCTGAGACGCCTTATTTGGTTCTGCTCTTGCAGTTTCGGTTAAGCAGCTGGCTGGGCTACCGGCAAAGCATATGTTACTTGTTCATTGTTCTTTTATATCTGTCTGCCCAAATAAGTGCTCTAGATGGTTTGCTGCGTCTGCCATAGTGAGCAATTCAGATTGTAGTAGAATTCTTATCTGTTGCCGATGCTCTTTAAGGGAGAATGATATGTAACTCGATTATTTTCAATAACTATTGCAACTTCCATAATTTTCTGTCCATTGGTTATGTTTGTTTGTTTTTCTCTGAAAGAGCCTGGTCATATTTTCACTGATTTTATAGAGTGATTTACTCAGCATAATTGCAGAGTTGTCTGTACTGTTAAATAGGTTTGCTATATCATGTTTGAGGAGTTGCACATTTCACACTATCTTATTAAGCACACGAATTTGATGACCCAGTTTTGAGTAACTTATTCTTGACAATGTAATGACCCAGTTTTGAGTAACTTATTCTTGGACAATGTAATGGTTCAGTCCCATGGTATGACTCATTAGTAGTGTTCTTTAATCTATTTGTGTTTTAATTTGGGTGTGTCTGATCATTCAACAGATCTGTCTTCATATTATACTATAGAGGTGCCAATGGTGTTGTCACTTGTCAGTTGTCACCAGCTCTGGTTGTTAATCTGAATCTTTACGTGTTAGCAAATTTGCTATGATTATGAACACAAGACTGACCACTGGAAATGAACAGAACAGTTTCTCGTTAGGAAGAAATTTTGTCATGCCTGTTTTTCTTCCAGGAACCCTGCTCACATAATCATTTTATGGAACAGATGGGAAATAAAATACAATCAACATGATTCAGTGATCTTACTAAGCCATCGAGGCCCCACTCTGTTTTGGCACAAATCTGGAGGCTTGACCTCTGTGGTGGCTGCTAAAAATGGAGAATGGACCATTGAATCATTTTCAGACTACTTAGAAATAACCTTGCAAAGGTGTCAATGTCTTGAAATGTCCATTTGAAAAATGGAGCATGGACAAATCTTTGGCTTCATGGTGTCTCCATTTTATGCTGCAGGCTGTAGTATGAGTATGACAAGGACAACATCTTCTTTCACTCCTCTCTATAAAACCCCATGTGACCGTCATGGTGAGTCACCGTTGTATCTCAGTGCTTCTAATATATTGACGTGCAAAACTTTTGCGTATTTGATAAAATAAGATAACATGTTATTCAAAATCTCAGTTTTAGTCACACAGTAGCTGCTCTTGTTTTTACACTTACAATTTTCAGGCTTCCTTTAGAACATGCATTAGTTATACAACTATGTGCCTGACAAAATTTTGAAGAAAAATACACCAGTTCACTCTGCAAATGATTAGCAGTAGACCAGAAACAATTCAAAGTCCAGGCTTGGCGGCAAGAAACTTCGGTTCGTGAGGCCCATGGGCTATTGGGCGAGGTGTCAGCATCAGTATTCAGTATTATTTTATCATGCAAGACAGGAAGAGGCATATGAACAGGTTCAGGTATTTTGACAAACTAGCCGCTTTTTCTTAGTTCACAAACACAGAAACTTAGTTTCTTTGCAAAATAAAGTAGACCATTAATTTGCATGAGCATGCAAAATTCCACACACATAACCAGATGACCTGAAAATCAAGCTTTGTTTATTCCAATTTTGCAGGTCAACACTGGTGATAGAGACTTTCAACACACTGATTCACAATAAATTTGATGCTAAAAGTGAGCATCTGTGCCTACCACTACCAGCACAAACTAGGAAGCAACAGGCATCTGTGCCTCACACTGTCATAACACATATCACAGGCTACAAATACAAGGTATATATGTCAATAGTTGTTATTCTTCTTCAGTCTTGAGGAAGCTTTTGCACAGCTTGATCCAGAACTCCCTGTCAGGCCCAGTATCCTCCAGCTGCCTCCTCACTCCCTCTGCGACCGCCATCTGCAAGTTACCGTGGAATGTGCGGTAAATTAACACCAGAAATTGTGATACCATTCGATACCAAGATTAATCTATAACTATGATGATGAGTCGAAAACCGCTCCCTAGTGGTAAGGATGGTGGTAACAACTACATTATCGACTAAAACCCATTGAACTTTAAAAAATTTGTCACAAATGTGCATTTTTTTAGGTTTTCTAATAGTTGTATTGATAATATTGAGCTGTTTTTTGCATATAGGATAATATTGATATGTCCAATAATCACAATATCTGATCGGTTATCATTGATATTTGAATCTCTACCCGGTAATTTTTTTAAGGTACAAGAATTTTCCACATCAATATATTAGATTAGATACATACTTTTAGATTCTAGACCAAATACTCTTGATTTCCGGGTGTTTAATACAAAGCGATTAGATCAGATTTTAGATAGTGTTCTTTTGGGGGTTGGGAGCCCTTCCCTCCTGAGCACGCAAAACGGAGCGATGAATTAGCGTACGATTAATTAAGTATTACTCCTTCCTTCCAAAAATCTAAGACCTATTTCTTTTTCATCAAAACCAAGAAGCAATTAACTCACTCATTATGTGGTAAAACCAATGAACATGCAACCAATAAGTACTAGAATGGCTTCTTGGTTTCCGATCAACAATTTAATTTAGCACATGGTGACTACAAATAGGGCTCATATTTTTGGAGAAACCAAAGAATGAAATAGATCTCAGATTTTTGGAAGGAGGGAGTAACTAACAACTTAAAAAATAGATTAACATGGTTTTTTTAATACAACATTCCTACAATTTTTTTTCGAAAAACATACTCCCTCCAATTCTTTTTATATGACGTTGGCTAGTTTAAAATTTAACTAGCTAGCCAACATGATACATATAAAAATGGACGTAGTAGGGAAAGTGTTTTAACAGCTCAAGTGGATGTCCACCCGTTTATTGCATGTCATCTAAATGATTATGAAAAAAAATAAAAAAAAATGAACAAGATAGATCAATATCTAATATATCAATCCACAAACATGCAAGTTAAAATTCAACTTCTACAAATTGTAACAAAAATAACAAACAAAACTCAAATTACTATATGTATATTTACAATTAAATTTGTTATTTTTTTATAACTTGTAGAAGTTGAATTTAAACTTGCATGTTTGTGGAGTGATATATTACATATTGATCTATCTTGTCAATTTTTTTTAAAAAATTTTTTGTAACCATCTAGTTGACATGCAATAAACGGGTGGATGTCCACTCGAGCTATTAGAATCTATATCCGAGGTAGTACCATTTAACCGTTTGGGGACCGTGTGTGCGTGCGAAAAAAGAGAGAGCAGAAGTTATGCTACACTCACGGTGATGGATCCAGCGGAGGAGAGGCGGTCGACGAGGTTGAGGAGGATGTCGGCGGTGTACTCCGGGTGGCCCTGGATGCCGAGCACGCGGTCGCCGGCGCAGAACATCTCGACGCCGGTCTTGGACGAGGAGGCGAGCACCTCGGCGCCCGCCGGCAGCTCCCACACCTCATCCTGGTGCACCTCCGTGATCTTGGCGTACGGCGCCGCCGCCGCCGTGATCCCCTGCAGCGCGTCGTCGAGGAACCTGTACGGCGGCAGCGACTCCGCCATGGCCACCTCCCTGATGCCGATGTCCCACCCGCCCCTCGCCTTCCCCACGCGCCCGCCCAGCGCGCGGCATATCACCTGGATGAGACGCACGAGAGGAAGACGACGAGGATGACATCACGGTTGACATGGCCGGCCCGGCCGGACAGAGCTGCAGCCTGCATTGAGGTAGCTACCTGGTGGCCGAAGCAGATGCCGAGGAGACGCTTGCGCATGGCGACGAGGTCGCGGACGAGGAGGCACAGCCGGAGGATCCACAGGTCGTCGGCGTACGCGTCGTGCGGGCTGCCGCTGATGACGAAGCCGTCGTACCCGTCGACCTCGTCCGCGCCGGGGAGCTCGCCGTCCACCGCCCGGAACATGTCCCACTCCTCGCCGCCGCCGTCGCCGACATCGCCATCGTCGCCGAACGCCCGGATGAACACCTCCAGGTAGCCGCCGTACACCTTGCGCACGTAGTCCGAGTCCCTCGCCGCCAGCAGCAGCGCGTACCTCCTCCTCCTCCTCACGCCTCCCTCCGCCGCTGCCACAATAACCTTCATAGCTTCTGAATTCTGATCGATTGCAAAGCTAGCTGCTGATCGATGGCAATGTGTGGGAGATGGCGGGAAGCGGTGCAAATTTATAGAGGAAGGAGGACATGATGAACAGCAGCTACCAAGAACGAGCTCGAGAGGAGTAGAAATGGTGGCAATGCAAGTTGGAGGAGTCGTGATTCAGACCAAGAATCTCTTGTGCTGACAATTGCATCGCATCGATCATGCAAAACTTATAGCATCTACGAAGTGATATATCACATATTAATATATCTTTTTAATTTTTTTTATATCCATTTAAATAATATGTAAACAACGAGGGGATATCTTTTTGAGGGATCAAAATTCACATACGTAGAAATGGTGGCAATGCAAGTTGGAGGAGGAGTCGTGATTCAGACCAAGAATCTCTTCTGCTGACACAATTGCATCGCATCGATCATGCAAAACCTATAGCTAGCTAAGCTAGTGATGAGTGGATTAGTAGTCATCTGATCCATCGCATCCTGTCGCGTTCGAGGCTGCAAGATGCATCGATCGGCGACGGCGAGTTGGTCGATTCGTTGCGCCAACTTGGGTTGTGTGTGGAAAGCTTGCTTCCGTTTTGAGATTTTGACCGTGCTTTTGTTGGGAGAAATCAAGCTAGCTAGCTAGCTAGCGGTCGAGCTGAGCTGCGGCGGTCGTGTTGATCGTCGTTAGGCCATTCCCAACCCAGGACACTAGACATAGTTTTTATAAACTTCACATCATCAAGAAACTATTACTAGACACTAATTTTATTTCATACTTAAATTTAATGCTACTTATCTCACATGATGTTTTGGATGTTGTATAGAAACCATACATGTCTTATACAAGACATGGTTTTCTTCTCTTTTCTCATTTATTTACTTGCCACATTATTTTTTTATCCTAAGTGACAGCTTATTTAATGCTATTAACACCATACTAATTATTGGGTTGGAAATGGCCTTAGCAGCCGTATCTGAGACTCTGATGTGTGTCATGTGTGTGGTGTTCAACGGTTCAACCTCTCTGATCAGCATGTTCTGACTACAATTAATCAACTGATTCCCTAAACACATGAACATCTTGTGTAAATTTTGTGAAACCTCGGGTATCATAATACAAATCACACATAATCAGAGTGTTTTGGCATAAGATATTTTGGCTTTCCCCTAAGTCAAATATCTTTAAGTTTAACTAATTTTATAAAAAATATATAATAAAATTTCTAATTCCAAACAAAACATATTATAAAATATATTCAATGGTGATTTGACGCTGCAGATGTTACTATATTTTTTTAATAAATTCACTCAAATTTAAAGAAATTTAGATTTAAACAAATTTTAAAATTACGGGACTAGCATATATATAACCCTAAATTGTAGTCTACAATATTATAAAATCACATCGCCGGCCAACTTAACTTGATATAGTAGAAAAAATAAGATGCTTAACTTAGATGGTTTAAATATTTTTTATTTTATAGATGAAAGACTTCATAAATTTAAGAATTCATTTAGAACATTCCTAATACGGTGGATCAAATAACAATTTATTAAAGTGCTCAAATCACTTTTTTTTATCCTGGACCACATAATTACTGAGGTGTGAAATTTACTCTTAATTTTTTAACAAACTTAATTGTCAGATATGCTGCATAATCGCGTGCAATTCTCCTCGGCAGATTTGACTGAATTTTCGTGTTTCTGTAGCTATGTTAATTAAGTTTTTGGTATTAATTTTTTATGAGAACTTTTTGTATTAATTATTGTTCTACTTTTGAACTTGTTGCACATTAGCAGTTTGCCAGGCTGTGACGACCAGGTTAATCACAAGGTCCTTGCAGATTTTCAACAAAGAAGGCCATCATTGTTTGTCGTGCAAGAAACAAGGTGATTCCCATTTTTATCAGGGCTTATGAAAGTCAAAAGTACTTTTTTAGATATGGCCTCTTGGACTGTGAATGGTGGGGAACAAATAAGATTTTGGGAAGATAAATGGCTAGGTAAGTTGGCTTTCAAGGATAAATTTCCATCTTTATATGCTATAGTCCGAAGGAAATCATCCACTGTTGCCACTGTTATGGGATCTGTTCCACTTAATGTTTCTTTTAGAAGAGCTTTAGTTGGTCAGAATATTGTATACTAGCATGAATTATGTGCTTCTATTGTACATATTCAATTAAATCCTTCTTCTGACTGTTTTAGATGTAATTATCATCAGAATGGTAGGTTCTCAGTAAGGTCAATGTGTCTAGCTTTAATTAACAATGGTTATGTTGAGAGGAACAAATATATGTGGAAACTTAAGATGTCGCTTAAGATTAAGATCTTTATGTGTTACTTGCTTAAGGGGGTCGTGTTGACCAAGGATAATTTGGCGAGACGGAATTGGAATGGTAGCTTAAGGTGTTGCTTTTGTATGAAAAATGAAACTATTCAACATCTCTTCATAGATTGTCATTATGCAAAATTCATATGGAGAGCAGTTCAGTTTTCTTTTGGTTTTAATCTTCCAACTAGTATATCTCATATATTTGATGGGTGGCTTTTGGGGGTTGACAAGAAAAAGAGTAAACTGATACTAGTTGGAGCGTCTCCCATTTGTTGGGCTCTATGGTTGAGTAGAAATGATTTGGTTTTTAATAAATCACCATCTATTTCATATATGCAGATAATTTTTAGGGCAACGCACTGGCTCCGGTTTTGGGCACAGCTACAAAGGTGTGAGGATGATGGGGAGTTCCTAAAGGTTGTATGCCGCAAGTTGGAGTCGATAGTTATGCAATTATTTGCCAATTATGGATGGAGGTTCACAAATAGACTTCAATAAATGTGTTCTCCTTATTTTGGCTTGGTTTCCTCTGTTTTTGTTTGGTGTGTCCTATTTAGCTGAACTACACTCTTTTCTGGATTGCTACAATGTAATAATTGGCTGTAGCTCTTTTTGAGCAAAGACTGAGATGTTAAATTCCATTATCTAAAAAATCATTGTTTGTCGTGAGACACGAGATCACCTGGACGACGACTGATGAACAGTATATTGTGTTTGTCATGCATGGTCATTCATAAAGGTCCATGCAGAAATTGAATTTTAAGCCCTCTCAACCATAAAAGATCAAATTAGATCTAACTGGAACTTTTTTAAAAAAATCATTCTAACTTTTATAGAGAGAAAAGCGAGTATGTCTACAAAGTAACTAAAATACAATAAGTGGTGCTACAACTTACTATACGGGTGCAGTTTAGTCATTTATTTTACAAATTGATCGAACATGTCACTCGTCTTGTTTATTTTGGGGCGCAAATCATATAAAATCATATAGCATCTCACTTGCTATTAATTCAAGTGCTGTTCATTTCTTTCGCAAACAAGGCTCCATATGAACCACAAATAAAGCCAACACTAGTCTCTCTCATGCCCCCCTCCCCTATCGTCTCTAGGAGCGACATGGGCAGAACCCACCGTGGCCTCCCCCTCCACTTCTCTTTCCTCTTTACCAACTCGTCACCATCCGAACAAGCCAAGAAAAATCCGCTTGGCCATAGTGAAAACAGCGGCATGCCTTATCACAACCTTGTGTAACTGTAGAGGCGAGGCGACATGCGACCGGCTTTGAGGCACGGCGGTGAAGTGCAACCAGAGGTGAGGTGGCACGGTGCTGTTGCGCCCTCCATCACTCCTAATGGTGGCGGTGTTGGTGGGAAGCCTCTAGCGCTCATCCCTCAAAAGCTAGTGCAATGGAAGAGACTGGCGGAGGCGGCGGGCTAGTAACGACGTCGTGTGCCAGATCAATGTCAGGGAAGGGCAGTTGTGCCCATCCTCTATATATGAAGACCTGGGCTACGACGACTTCTTATGGTGCTGTCTAAATGCTTGAGGGTAGCGGCTGGCGCCGATGATCCTCGAGGTGGAGACCGTGACAGTGAAAGTGGGTGCATAGATATAGAGCTAACATGTGGAGATAGGCGGGGGGTATCAATGTAGCAATGTCTACGTGCTGACCGTGGGTGACTGGTGGTGGCCAGCTTTGGAGCTATAGTTACAGGACAACAATGGATGGGTGGCGGGATAAAGTCTAGCTCGGTCTGGTTAGGCTGACAACGGTGACACCTTTGGTCGTCGTTTTCCTTCGTAGAGGTGTTATCAAGGTGTCTCTCTTCCTCCCTGGTGGGTACCTGAGACCTGGATGGGCGGCAACGATGCTCCCTAGGTCACGTTTTCCCTAGAGACGTTGTCTAAGAGGCCCCATTATCGCCTAATATGCTTTTAGATAGTTTGGTGCAAAGCTCTTAAATGGCGGCGGTCCGCGGATTCGTGCGAAGAAGAGGGATCTTTCTTCTCTCTCGCCCTCTTCCTCTACAACCTTTCATCCTGGTGACCTCCAGGAGGTTAGGTGTTCAGTAGTTTGGAATTGGTGTTGGGTAGTATGGTTGTAGCTTCTTTGTTGATCTAGCAGCGACCGGTTCCGTGCTAGTTGTATGTAGGCGATATTGGTGTATTTTTGTCCTTTTTCCATGGCTATGGCCTTACATGTTTTAGTCTTGTAATTTTCTTCTACTATCTTCAATGAGTCAATGTTATTCGTTAAAAAAAGGCAACATTTGTGGATCATATAATCAATATGGGCACCGCCTCACCTTCTTCCTTTTTGCTGGCTCTTATACTGGATCTGCTATATATTATTGCCCTTGAGCTAGCGTTACCAACATATTTTGAGGTTCATTGAATCTAGCCATGCTAGCTAGTTCACCGGCGCATATGCCCATGAGAGCCTATGGGTTTATTCACGAGACAAAAAGATTGTGTGCAGAATAAGAACAAGTTCGATTCTTCCTGGACCTTAATTCCAAATGTGCACTCAGATCTCAAGGAATAGATCCTTTTCCCTCCTCCTAGTTGGGTCATCGAACACTGAAGAAAAAGATACATCTGCTTAAAATAAAATGAGCATGCCATTTTTTTCGGAGCTATTCTCCGTTCCATATAAGGTTTATATTTTAGTTTCGTATTAAGCCATTTTTTTTAATTTTGTCTAAGTTTATACAACATCGAACTAGTATTATATCCAATATCCTTTCATATGGATGAAAGGATTCTGTAGAAAAAAAACCTTTACGAAATTGGATCATCCAAAATTCCTAAGACGATTTTGTATAATTTATACTACCTTACATTGTAAAACAAAAGAAGTAGC